GTTTATTACTAAGTGGCCTTGTGCCGGACACCACACTAAACTACCGAGTCCACAAACAATGTATAAAAAAAATGCGTGAATGAACAGTGAGAGGAAAGGGGTCAATCAACGAGTGCATAAAAAATAAACATCAAAGAGATAGCCGGAATAAAATGACAAAAGGCGTCTGATGTAAAACATGTGTAATTTTTTTTTTAAATGGAAAAAAGAAGTAGGTATCTCGTGGTACGAGATCAGAGAAGATGTTCCGCGCCAAAATAGGAATGCAAGATGAACAAGGCGGGAAAAGAGTTTTATAAGGTTCTGGTAAAAGGAACTCGTCAAACACGAGGTGTATGACAGGTGCAGATAGAAAGGAGTACTCACTGTGGATTTTTTTTTGGCGTTGAGAGTGTATGTGATTTTTGTGTTTTTTTAAATCTTTTTTATGTTCAGGTTCAAAGTAGGGTCTCAGAGTTTGGTCAGGTCTTGAATTAACTGTTGAAAATTTTAACGGATTGCTGTGGACGTCTAAGCCAAAAGGACGAAGAGTTAAAGGTAAAGTTGGTTGCATCGTCTATGTGAAGTTACTTATGGCGAGTCAAGAAGGGACGAAGAATATCTGTTCGTCAGTAAGATATACGTCTGTATTTAAAGTTGACTGACGAGGGATAAATGTAAGTCTCTTGTTGAATACGAAATTTGCCCACGACTGTGTCGTGTGTCTCGCACATTTTCTCAGAAAACGGAGAAGGTCTGACCTGCGGATAGCAAGTTGTTCGTCAGTAAGATATCCCTATTTGTATTTAAGGTTGACTGACGAGGGATAAAAATAAGCCACTTGTTAAATACGAAGTTTTTGTATACGACTGTGTCGTGTGTCTCTTTCTTCTGGTCGAAAATGGAGAAACCGGAGAAGGTCTGACCTGCGGGTAGCTTCAAGACGAAAGAGGTCTTGGTAAAGTGTGAGGTCAACATCGTTGAGATAAGATATTCCGGCCCGCATATGGGTTAAGGGCACGGAATAAATGAGTTTTCCGTCTAGTTTCCTCTGAGTCGAAAGTCGGGAGGCATCTGGCTTGCAAACGCTTTCGTTTGAGACGCCGAGAAACGCGCTGGAAAAAATTCAAAATCTGTTAGGCTGACTTCATCAGTAGGAGCTAGCGAAGTTCCCCCTCCAGATTACTGCTACGTCTAGCTGTGAGAGGAAAGAAGGTGCAAACCGCGCGCACACACGCACGAGTGTGAAAGGAAGGGAGGAAAACTCGCGCGCGCGTAGAATGTAGATGGAATTAATGTGTTAATTCCATAAAGGCACAACACAGCGCTGCCCATGACACAATTTTGAAATGCTAAAGCTGCACCCCTACCACCTTACGTCATAAAAGAAACAAAATTAAAAAAGTAATTTATAAGCTGCTTGACCCCCACTGTTTACTAAGATATTCCGTTGTTATGATATCATATATGTTCGATTATTGACGTCGACAATAATAGCAGAATAGCTTATTAATAAATAGAAGAGATTAGGTTACATCAGATGAGAACTGACACATGTTATTAGAGAATAGATTATAAATGTTGTAATCTTCAGTTAGATGACTTAATAAATGAGAGATCAATAGTTTCATTATTATAAACACAACGAGCATTATCATTATCATAATCATCGTCAAAAACAACAACAGTAATAATAATCTCGGCTACAGCATTTCCTTTTTCTTATATTCTTTTTCTTTCTTTTTTCTTTATTTTCTTGGTCGTATGTTTTTCTTTCTTTACGTCTTTCTTTTCTTTTATTTCGTTGAAATTTAATGTTTTCTTTCTTTGTTTCTTTATTCAATTTGTTTTTATTTGTTTGCTTCCTTTCTTTCTTTTTTGTAACATTTCTTTTTTTATTTTTTATTTCCTTTCTTTTCTTTTTCTTTTTAACCTGTCATCATTTATTTTGCTGATTCCTTATTTTGTCTTTTATTCAATTTTTCCCAAGTTGCATATTCTTTCTTTTTGATTTTGTACTTTCAATATTTTTACTATCCTTCTTTCTTTGCTTTTTTTACTTATCTTTCGTTCTTTCTTTCTTTCTTTCTTTCTTTCTTTTTTTTTTTTTCTTTTCTATCTTTCTTTCTTTTTTATATTTTTTCTTTTCTTTCCTTTTAAACTTTCTTTCTTTCTTTCCTTTTTTTTTTTTTTCTTTTTTTTTTTTTTATATCTTTCTTTCTTTCGTTTTATATTTCTTTCTTTCTTTCTTTCTTTTTATATTTCTTTCTTTCTATCTTTCTTTCTTTTTATATTTCTTTCTTTCTTTCCTTTTATCTTTCTTTCTTTCCTTTTATCTTTCTTTCTCTATTTCTTTCTTTATATCTTTCTTTCTTTCGTTTTATATTTCTTTCTTTCTTTCTTTCTTTCTTTCGTTTTATATTTCTTTCTTTCTATCTTTCTTTCGTTTTATATTTCTTTCTTTCTTTCCTTTTATCTTTCTTTCTTTCTTTCCTTTTATCTTTCTTTCTCTATTTCTTTCTTTATATCTTTCTTTCTTTCGTTTTATATTTCTTTCTTTCTTTCTTTCTTTGCGTGCTTTTTTGTTTGTTTCTTTCAGTCAGTCTTCTGCTTCTTCTATTTTTACTAATGTATTAATTTCCGTATGTCTTTACCAAGTTTTTTTTCTTTTTTTCTTTTTCTTTTTTCATTTTCTTTCAATATTTTTCTCTCTAATCTTTCCCTGCATTCAACTTTCTTTCTTTCTTTCTTTCTTTCTTTCTTTCGTTTTATATTTCTTTCTTTCTTTCTTTCTTTCTTTGCGTGCTTGTTTCTTTCTTTGTTTCAGTCAGTCTTCTGCTTCTTCTATTTTTACTAATGTATTAATATCCGTCTGTTTTTATCAAAGTTTTTTTTAATTTTTCCTTTTTCTTTTTTTCACATTCTTTCAATATTTTTCTCTCTTATTCTTTCCCTGCATTCAACTTTCTTTCTTTCTTTTTTCTTTCTTTCTTTCTTTCTTTCTTCGTGTATTAATTTTTACATTATTATTACATTGTTTTTTCACGTTCCTCTCTTTCAGGACAAGTCCAGTTGCATTGCTCCGCATTCAGTCACACCGCTAGTAAAAGATGATGATGACGTCATGCACGTGAATATCGGGTCCGGTTTGATGACGGCTCACATCTCCAGCCTTCTTGCTAATTCAAAATGTCGCATCTGGGGTTTGGCAAATGCCGGTGGCGCCCAAGAGTCACGTTCTCTGCAAAAAAGACTAGAACAACTCGAAGCAAAAAGTATCCTTTTACAACAATTAGGGCTTTATTCCCTTTTAGAGAGCGGGAATCTATCAGGGGAAGTTAACCGCTCGCTTGGAGCATACTTGCAAAACTCTGCGACTGCACTAGAAGGGGTAAGAATTTAAAAGGAATATGCATATATCAGATCGTTCTTCGTGGTTCTTGGTGCAGAATTCAGGCTTGCACGCCATCGTAGAAGATTTTAACACATAAGTGAGGGCGATTAAATCGGTGTGAGTACCAGACAAAAAAGTTATATATATATATATATATATATATATATATATCACCGAATGGAGGCAGTATCTTTCGTGTTTAATAACCTGAAGATTGCGTTCTTGCATGAAAACAGACCATTCGGTATTGTTCTCTGTGTATATATATATATATATATATATATATATATATATATATATATATATATTTAAGGTGTTCCATATTTATGGGATAAATGCTAAATAGCAGAATTCGAGCGTATGTAAATATAAATATAAAAGTGAACATTTTTGAAATCAACACTCAGAATGACAGGCTCTTTCATGCTAGATGCAATCGTCAGGCTTATCGATTGCGTTTAGTATGAAAGAGCCTGAATGTTGATTCAATTCAATTTTCACTTTATATATACATATATATATATATATATATATATATATATATATATATATATATATATATATATATATGTCCAGGTACGATGAGCACGAATAGAGTACAATTCCAACGTTCGTAACATTTAATTTAAAAGAGGGCTCAATGTAAAGTATAGAAATATTGTTTATTTTAGGCATTACATCGAATAACATGTCAAAATTTGTTACACAAGTCTGATGAGATGCGATAATACGCATCAAAACACGACTGCAATTGTGTATCGATTTTGACGTTTTCGATGTCATATCCTAAAAAAAAAAGTATATATATATATATATATATATATATATATATATATATATATATAAAGAAATATAGTTTTAAGATGTGGCATATTTATGGGACAAAGTGCTCAATATCAGAGATAGAGCATACGTAAATATAAATATAAAAGTGAACATTGAAGTCAACACTTGGTTTGTGTGTGTAAATTTATGATTCAAACCTGTTGTAGTACGATCCACCTAATTTACATAGTGGAGTACCGACCATATAAATATGGGTTGGTACCGGGAAGACGGGGGAAGTAACAAGAGATCCAATCCAGAGACTCTGCCTGACTGCGATTAAGTCAACCCATTCTACAGGAACAGTCTTCCCAAGAATATACCAAAACTAACTGTAAATATTGTGTACCTTTTCCTTGTTTCAATACATTTTGTTTACGTACATTTTGTGTTGTATTATTATTATTCCATGCTTATCCAAGCTTCAACAAAACCTTAAACTTGTTATAGATGTAAAACTTGTGCAGGAGCCTTTCATGCAGATTTCTAGCGATGACGGCCGTTTCAAGTCCGTTAAAGTGATTCTGTTGACCGCCAACTGCAGTAAGTCAGCCCTGAACAACCCGGTTGATTTTGTGGTCAACGAGGGTGAAGGTGAGTCTTGAGGCTTTTCCTTACCAGGATATTCGGCGTTGATTGAACCTTGGGCCCGTCTTCAAAGTAATTCCTCTCACTCATTCCCACCCGTTTTTACCACCGTTGACAAGAAATGGACAAGCCTGACCCTGTGACAGAAAGAACGGTTAGAAAATAGAAAAAAAAAGTTCCCTTTATAAATCTTTTATGTCCACCAACTTCATTTTTACGACAGACCTACCATGATACCTTTTATTTGCTCGCCGAAAGAAATATGAAGAGGACTTACATTTTTATGAAAAGGTGAAAGTGAAATAGGGTTCAGTGCCTTATAGACAGGTCTTAGAGAGAGAGAGAAAGAGAGAGAGAGAGAGAGAGAGAGAGAGAGAATTGTCTGATGATCGCAAAAGTGTGAAACCCAAGGTCACTAACTAATATCCACACAACTGAATATATATATTAAGATATTAAAAATTGTTAAAATTTGCTACATAATGGCAATTGTGTTTCATCACTATAAATGTGTCTGGTGCTAAATTCTCGTCTAAATTACGCAAAAATGAAAATAATTGTGACATCTCATTTTAACAGATATATTTACCAAAATTAAACAAAAATATTTCATAATGTGTGACGTCATTTGTTTACATATGGATACGCTTTGAACAGATATGAATGTACATGTGAGATTCATGGAAGATTGAAGTTTAAAGGCAGTAAATTCGACCTTGCTAACCGAACTTTCGTCTGTGGCCAAAACAATATATATATATATATATAAATATATATATATATATATAATAAGCACTCAAGACGAGCATTTTTCTTTTACATTTTTGCCATGTTTTTATTGATGTGGTGAATATTGTTTAAACGTTCGGTACATTTTCCTTTTCCATCTTTTTTCCTAAAGATATGAGCGTCTTGAAGAGACTGTCTCGAGGGGGTGTCACCGCAGAACAACTTGAAGTCCTGTACACAGAAGAAGTTTCATACCTAAAGCATGCACTACAATGTAAGTACCGCAGATTTACTGGTCTCCAAGAACTTTTATATTCCCTATTAAGTGGCGAAAGAGTGTATATTCAGGATTAATCGAACGGATGTTCTCATGCGAGAGTTATAGAGGTAGTTGTTTGTAGTCAATGTCCCCACTGGCTGTTCAACATTTCGAGGAGTTTTACAGTGTTTTTTTCTTTATTGCGTTTTCATTTTCACTTTCACTTTCACTTTCGAAGCCAAAATACGGCCATGGCAACAATATCCGTGCATTTCATTTGCGTTGATTATCCAGACCAGCAGTCGCCAACCTTTTGAGCTACATGTATAATTTTAAATTTGGCGAACCACTAATATGAATTTAGAACAAAAAGGTAAATACATTTATATAATACTAATCGGAAAACTTTTATTAATATGCACCCATTAAAGGTAACAAATTTATAGTTAATTATTTAAATAAAAAAAAAATTTAAATTATTCAACTTTATTCATATATATATATATATATATATATATATATATATATATATATATATTTAAATATTTTGCAAAAATAGTTTTCGACTACGAATGCTTATAAATTTGTATCTGGTGTGTAAGCCGATTCTTGAAGATTCTTGAAGATTCTTGAAGATCTCGCCATTACTCTGTTGCTTTGCCATTACGAAAGGCTATCAAGGATTTTTCCTCCAGTGTATAAGTCCACGGTTTCAATCACTGCTTTGTGTGACTGTGGCTTAGAAGCGTTTACCTATATTCATCTATTGAGATGAATATACCCATATTCATTGAAATAAATTTATTACTGAATATGGATTTTTAAAGTTTATTATATATATATATATATATATATATATATATATATATATATATATATATATGAATAAAGGCAAACCTGCTTCTTTCCTTAAAGAAATATACATTTTCCCTCAATATATATTTAACAATATACTTGACACGTGATTTTTTAAAATCATTTCATCACAAGCAAAGCAATAAAGTTACTAGGACGCAAGGGGTAACTGAGTGATAGAGATTATAAGAAATAACTACTATTAAGGAGAGAGGACAATGAAAGAATTAAGACAGAAGATAACGATTGACATGGCATTTAATTTTTTTAAACTAGAAATCTTATTACACATCTTTTAATTATCTTTTTTTTTTGTGAAACGATTAACCGCTTTTTTTTCTCTTTCGGCAGTTCCTAATGTCCGGGCCGTAATCTACCTTACAAGATCTGTTTACAAACTGGAAAACGAAACTGTTGTTTCAAATGTTGTGGAATACATGAACTCCATTCAGCAGCCAAGCAAACCACCGTATCGTATCGTTCCACCCGTTTTGCAATTCCACGCTGATGAGATAGAAAAAAATGTTGGTCTCTTCGGTAAATACATAAAGTTCGACCCTTCGGATGGCATGAACGGCTGTTTCCTTGCTATAATCGCAAGGGAGGTAAGTAAGTACAAAATAACTCATTCTAGGACGGTATCACTTGTGTATTAACAATAAAGGCCGTTGCATACTACCCCGAGATCCCCGAAATGAGAGTTCTCAACCCTGACTGGGATTCCCGGGCAGTGCTTTATGACCCTCGTTACCTTATCAATATTTGCTTTTTTTCCTACCTACATTTATATACATTACAAATTAAACTAAGCACAATTAAAGGATGAAAATTTTTGCGGATTTTGACGTCATTCTGGTTTCTTTTCTTTTTCTTCCAAATTCGTGATTTTTTTTTTACAACGGGTTAACCGCGACAATAGTCTTCTGTGCCCCCACTAGTCGTCTACCTTGCTCTTTCATCTAAAACATTGTTTCAAAGAGATACAACTAGGAATTTTGGCGACACAAGCTCCATCTACCCATTCGGTGAACATAGCACATATAATGTTATACCGGAATTTCAGAAGAGAAGCTGCATCGCTTTATTTTTTTATTTTTTATTTTTTTAAACTTTTTTTGGTCTTGATGTAACAGTAAGAGATAGATCAAGTATCGACCATCATAAAGACTGAAAAATAAAATTGACAAAGATTATTGTTTAAGGTTGACGGGCACGAATGTCTTAATTAGTTTTTGATTTTTTTTTTTTTTTCATGGTCAAACCCAAACTCAAACAAAAACATTGTTTTCAATCGTTATGAATCTACTGATTGAATAGAATTTTATTATAAACAATTGTCTTGTAAATGGAATTTTTAAAGCATTCTGAATGTAAAAATAAAAAAAAAAGTGTGCAAGACAATAAGAAACACTACATGCCAAAAAAAGTGAAGTTTTGTTGAAAAATGTAGGAAATCCGATCCCCCCACACACACACACACAATCTGCGTTTTATAATAAGTAAGATTTATTTTTGAATTAGGATTTTTTAAAAGAAACGCTTTGGAATCCTAAATACGAAAAGCAATACAATAAAAACCTTATATTTTCTTTTTATAACAGTCGATATACGACTGTTCGTTAATTCTAAATAAGTAAAAGTAATAAAACTGGGTACGTTTACAGAAAAGCGATACCTAAGGTTTCAAAAAATGAATTTTAAAAACTGAAAATCTTTCTTGAAGTTTTTATTTTAGTTTTAATTTCAAGCTAATAGATTAAATTTAATATTTCCAGTAAGCAAAATAATCCTTTAAAACACTTAAAAAAACTAAAAATTTAATACAATATTTTTTACTTTTGCATTTGTTTATTAACTTTCCTTGGTAAATACTGTCCAAACGTTTATGATCATCTATTGTTGATTATACATGGCCGTTAGCAAGATCAGGGACACAGTGTGGATATTATTCGTATTTTTTTTTTAGTTTTGAAATGTGTTTAGCAGATATGCTCTTAAAGTCAGTTTAAACGGACGCATTTGTGTGTTTGTGCGTGTGTGTGTGATATCTGTTAATGAATTCAATAGGAAATCTATTGAATTCATTGACGGATATTATCTTGACGAGCGAGACTGTGTTTCTAAGAAATTGCTAGTCGAAAGATAAGTTATTTTTCTTTTATCTATCTATCTATACTAGCACACACAAAATTTGATATCATGCACACACAGACATTCGCAGACAGACAGACACACACATACACACAGACACACACACACACACACACACATACACACAGACACACACACACACACACACACACACACATATGGCTTTTGGTCTATTTTCAATTTGTGTTTATTTTCTCGTTCTTTTATAGGTTTTCCTTATTTTTGTTGTTAATAAATGTCTTTCTATTTGAGCTTGTTTACCTGTCAGGCTTTCTTTTAAGATTTTCGACATATATATATATATATATGTGTGTGTGTGTGTGTGTGTGTGTGTGTGTGTGTGTGTGTGTGTGTGTATGTGTGTAAAAAAAAACAGATATCATTTAAGGTTCCATGTAATAAATTATTTCACCAGAGCCCTTTTAAAAGGACTTTAAATCATCAGACTTTACTTAAAAACCTTTAAAAGGGCTGTGGTGAAATAATTTATTACATGGAACTTTAAAGTGGTTTGTTTTTATTTAAATTATTTGCTCTGAATTTACATTGAGCTCTCTGGATTTTATCCTCCTTGGGTTTAAAACAAACGGATTATCTAGTTATTCTATCTATCTATCTATCTATCTATATATATATATATATATATATATATATATATATATATATATATATATATAATATATATACTTTCTTAATATGTATATATAGAAAAAGTTTCAAATTGAAAATTATAATGTTTATTTTATGAAAGTAAAATAAATATATAAATAAATAAATACTTTCATAAAATAAAACATTATAATTTTCAATTTGAAACTTTTTTATATATACATATTAAGAAAGTATATTGTTTAATATATATATATATATATATATATATATATATATATATATTTTTAAGGTTGCACAACGCAACATTCAGGTGCTGAATTGAGATAAAATTAATATTTCTTAATATATAATTTATAGCTTTGTTATATTGCATCGAGCACTATTTTTATTAGCACCAGCACTCAATGTATATATATATATATATATATATATATATATATATATATATATATATATATATATATATATATATATATATATATATATATATATTATAGGAGGCAATGGTGGAGTAATGGATAGCGGAGAGACGAGTTCGAATTTGGAGTCGAATCCATTATATTTCACTTACATGCTAATGCCCTTGGGAAAGGTATGGATCCTCTTCTTCTCCCTCCAGCTATGGGTAAATAGTAGGACAGACTGGGTTCTATAGCCTTGGATGGCAACTAATGTAGGAGAAGGACAACTCTGAGTTCAAAACCTGCGGAGCGTCGTTTGGGGACCTTGTGTCACTTAGTGCATCAGGTCTCTGTATTCGTCCCTTCAAAAAGTGTGGATGGTCCTGCACGAAACCTTCACCACTATAATCAAATCTCATGTGCTGTTGTTTCGTCGGTTTCCTGAAACTGATCTGCTTTGAAATCCTCATACGTCGAATTCGACGGGAGAGTTCGAATATATATATATATATATATATATATATATATATATATATATATATATGTTGAAGCTTAAATAAGCATGGAATAATACAACACAAAATGTACGTTAACAAAATGTATTGAAACAAAAAAATAGGTACACAATATTTACAGTTAGTTTGGTATATTCTTGGGAAGACTGTTCCTGCATAATGGGTTGACTAAATCGCAGTCGGGCAGAGTCTCTGGATTCAATTTCTTAATCTCTACTATCTTCCCCGTCTTCCGGTACCAACCCATATTTATATGGTCGGTAGTCCGCTTATGTAAATTAGGTGTATCATACACAACAATATATATATATATATATATATATATATATATATAGAGAGAGAGAGAGAGACAGAGACAGAGACAGAGAGACAGAGAGATTAATACAAGTATAAAATTTGCCACATAGCGGTTTGATGTTACTACCAATAATACCCTCTCAGTATACACCCAGATCGCAGTATACCTGGAATTATTCTAGGTTAGGCTGATTTATATCCGAGGTAAAAGTTATAAGTTAAGGCAAGCCTATTTTATACACCCGGATATGAGATGAAAACTAGAATATACACCTTTTTTTATAGATTATACTGTGAGAACATTGTACAATATCTACAAGTTATTCCGATCTCCTGGTTTACAAATTCCTAAGCTTAACTTCTTGTCTATCGATTTTGCTCAGCCACTGTCTGATTACGATTCAAACAGTTTATATCAGACATTATTATCAATTTATCGGGCTCAACCATCCGAGGACATTCTACTGAAGAAAACAAAGTCGTTGATATTAATAGTAAAGTTAGTGTAAATTGACCTAGGGAGTGTATAGTTTACACTAGTCTATTTTATATACCAAGGTTTGAAATAGCCTGATTGCAATTACCCCCGGGGTTTATTCTGAACTATATTAAACTATACCCGTGTATATCCTCGGAGGTAAAGTAATCAGGGCTACTACACTAGTAGCTGCGTGGAACAAGTTAATTCTGAAGTACTTTGTAATCAGGGCTACGACACTGTAGTTGCGCGGACCAAGATCCTTCCATTTGTTCTTCTGTGTGACGTAATGCTTTCATATTTAAGAGATTTGCATATGTCTTGAAATGGTATTAGTGTAGTTGTAAGTAAAGCAATCCAATAAGTCTAAGTATTTCGATAGTTGACTATTTCATGATTTAGCAAAAATCATAATTCATGAGATTTGCTAAATTTTAAAAAAATATTATTAATAAATATATTATATAATATACCATTCATAAATATTAAAGTTTACATTACTTATGTCCGTTTCCTCTCACGTTGTGATCTAAATGCCAAGGTGGATACCGTTTTCAGGATAGAATATTTATTTTTTTTTTATAAATAAATGTTTTAATTATAAAAGTCAACAGACATCGCTTATTAAGAACATTAAAAGATCATGAAAAAAAAACAATAAAAACAATTGCAGTTATTGAAAACCACATATTATTTCACTTCGATCAAGGCTATAAAGCCAAAAAGACGCACATGGTTACTGAGTATGAAAGAATCCGAGACAAAAATAACATTATTAAACAGAGAAGGACAATAAAAGAGCAGAAAATAAGAAGACAACTATTGAAATTTCTGAATATCAAAGTTCGTTGGAAAGAAAAAGTCGGAAAATAGTTCTACAAGCGAGAAATTCGGGAGAAGATACTGCTAGCATAGAACTTACGGTTACATTTCAACATAACACCAGTCGACATTTTTTTCAACCCAAATGTTGTTGGGCAATGGGCATATGTTTCTGGTCTATTTTTTCACGCTGAATCTGAAAATCAAGTCCATTTTGTTTCCCATCACATCACTTTTTCTCAGTACAGATAATTTCTATTTTGCTTAAAATAGGCCAAAATGCCTAATTCACAGGGATCTGCCACGGCTTAAATATGCGAGTGACATAGCTGAAACATTTTGTTTCCTGTTAAAATGACTTATCATTCAAGAAAAAAGTATCCAAATAACTTTCAAAATGAATTCTAAGCTATTTCAGTTCAGATAAGCTGACTTGAAAATTCTTGATTTTATGAGAGATATCTCACTGGAAAATGTTCTTGTGCCCTCAATGTTCTTAGCTTGTTAAAACTTGGAGATTTGAGTTTCTTCACTACTTTTCATAGAAGAAGCTCTTTAGAAGTCATTCAAAAACAGCGATTTTAGTTTTTATCAGTAGTTTTCACTTCAAGCCTGTAACCGTCATAAGATTTTATCATATCATTTCAATTTACAGAGGTCTGGTATTGTCATGCAGTCTCTGTATAATATGCATAGGTACATCGATAAATGAGAGTTGGTAGGGTGTAGGCGAGTGGATTTGAGACTACCAAGATTAGAATTTTCTTTATCAGCGCTTAGAATAGCCGCCAAACACCAGACAGGCATAGCCATCTAGGCACTTTTCAGATGGGATGTTAACATAATGGCTAATTTCTGTTAGAGCATCAAAAAAGATCAACCTTTTCAAAAGCACCGTAGAGTTTCCAAGAAAAGAAGATTTATACCTTTCGATGGACAAAAATGAATGCATTTTTCATTCCTTTGTATCTTTTTTGTTTTGATTCAAAAATTGATGGCACATGTTTGCCTTCATTTAATTTTGGGTGAGATTTCCTGTATTAATTAATGTTTCCTATTTGTTCTTTGTCATATCATATATACACCCTGGTGCAAATTAAGTGAAACAACCGCTTCAGTTTCCTTTCTTTCATCATAAAATCAGTTTTAGACTCAGAGGAGTGACAGGGTGTAATCGATTTGTATTTTTGCTCAGATTACGTCATTTGCAGTGGTGTGCGGTAATATGAATCTATTTTCGGGGTGTATGAGGAAATTTGTTCGGCCTTGAAAAATATTGCGTCATCCGTGAATGTATCTGATTTTCATCAAGCCCAGACACTATTGTCTCAACTGTCGATTAGTTTTCCTACGGCCATTGTTTGCGATGGACGTTACTCCAAGGAAGTGTACGAAAATTGTAACGCTGCACGAACACATTGGTAAGCAGGACCAGTGACCAAATCAAAGTACTAGGGACTGGCCCGGAAACTCTCCTGATTTAAGTCCAATCGAGAATCTGTATTCAATCTGCAAGAAACGACTTCGCGGAATGGACATACGAAGTACTAATACGAAATAAAGTAAATAATAACAGAATTATTCGTTTTGTTTCAATTAATCTGACAAAGTGTGTGTGTATATATATATATATATATATATATATATATATATTATGAAATGGACAAAGTCCGACAATTATTTTAAGTCATTTTTATGTTTATAGATTCTTTTTTTTTATAGATAATAATAATTTTCATAATGTGTGACGTCATTTGTTTACATTTGGATACGCATCGAGCAGATATGAATGTACGTGAGAAAATCATGGAAAATTGTAGTTTAAAAACAGTAAAATTGATCTTGCTAACCGAAACTCCCCTCCGTAGCGAAGTCGGTAAAAGCACATCAGGCTATATGATGGTTCCGTATAGGATACAGGTTCGATTCCTGTCGGAGGACGCATATTTTCTATGACAATTTCTTGGACATTCAGGCCGGTAAATGTTGTTAATACTGTTTATTATAACGAGATCATTTACTTAAATATTTGTATCTATAAAAAAAGAATGTATAAACATAAAATTGTCTTAAAATATATATATATATATGTGTGTGTGTGTGTGTACAGGATGTCCAAAAATGTGTCTTTGAATGGCAATAAATGAAGTTTTTATGCAAACAAGATTAATGTTGACAATAAGAAATATCAATGTTTATTGACTTACAAAAGAAGGCTAACGGTTTGAATTAAATGTTGAATGAAATTAAATGCTTTTTTTATAAATATTCAGATTGACGGCCATCACTTTTCAAAAACAGCAAAGTGAGTATTTTTGGGGACAACTTGTATTGCTTGCTATAATAAAAATAGTTACGAAATTATATTTTCCTTTAATATAAAACATTTTCTGATTTAAGGCTGACTTTCTATTTTTTTTTTTCACCCTTCAGATGGAAAGTAAGAATACATCTCTGAGCCTTGTCATCAACCAGCATTCACCTTGTGTCGAAAAATCGAACGGGTTAAATAGCGTTCATCGAAGCCTTGCTAAAATTCAACGCGATTCTAACGATCCTTGCTGGATGTGGACACAGCTTGGCTCAACCCGTGAAGTCGTTAAAACATTGAACAAAAACGGAACAAAAAAAGATGACGTGACAAAACAAAGGGATTTTACGGACAACAATATGACGATGTCGCCCAGACTTCCGACACTGAAAACACAAATGAAATCCCAAGGTTCAATCCTCAGGCCACAACGACTGTACAATACAAAATTAACAACAAACCAATCGCCTGGACATAAACCGATTTTCTTGTCAGAACACAAGAAGATAATTAATCACCCAAAACCATTTCGGTAAAAAAAAAAAAAATAATTATCGAATTTTACAAGTACGAAAACAAAAAAGAAACCTTGCCTATGATATTAACCTTTAAAATGTATTGAATTAGTACAGCTTATTAAAAAAAAAACAAAAAAAAAACAAACAAAATATCACGGAAGAAGTAAATAAAAGCGACTCACGAAAAAAATTTATTTAAACCTGACCTTTGGTCACTAAAATTGAAATGAAATTTTGCAAGCAAAATATGGTAAATGTTTTTAATATATTAAAATCACACACAGAAATAAATAGAGAGATGTGAACAGACTCTGATAGATAGATAGATAGATAGATAGATAGATAGATAGATAGATAGATAGATAGATAGATAGAAGCAGATAGAGATAAACAAACTGAGAGATACGAATAAACTGACGTAGATAGATATGTACAAACTGAGACATATATGAGCAAACTGAGATTGATAGACAGACAGCTAGACAGAGATTGGTAGAAAGAGACTTAGATACGACATAGATATGAATAAACTGAGATAGTGAACAGGCTGTGATAGCCAGTAGACTGTGACAAATTGTAGATAGACAGACAGAGAGATAGATACAAACAGACTGAGAAAGATAAGTAGATATGAAGATAGATAAATATGAAAAAAACTGGCTGATAGATAAATATGAACAAACTGACAGATAGATAGGCAGATAGATAGATAGATAGATAGATAGATAGATAGATAGATATAGAAACAGACAGAGATAGATAAACAGATATGAACAGACTTCAATAGATAGATAGATAGATAGATAGATAGATAGATAGATAGTGTTGACACCAGTTAAGACTGTACGATAATTGATGTTACACGCCTTAAAGGATCATCAAATCATGCATCCTTTATTTCTCTGTTGTGAACAACGTTCGCTAAATCCACAATGTTGAAAATTCTTTCCATACAAATTTATAAGATTTTAAAGACAACCAACAACAACGCAAACACATACAGAGACACAGACACAGACACACACACACACATATATATATATATATATATATATATATATATATGAGAAAGGGTTAGAAAGATGTAATCAATGGTGAGATCGACTGTTTCCATACAGGAAACATTCGGCTCATTATTGTTTATTTATTTGGGTTAATTTATTTTACTTGTTTTTTTTTTCAATTTTCATTGTTTATTTTATATATTTATTTATTCTTTTCGGTTTTTGATGTTTTATTAATATAGTAAAGAATTTTGGGGGTTAGGTCATTTATTTAATAGTTTGTTTTGGTCTGGGAAGATAATTAAAGCTATTTATTCGTCCAATTTTAGATTGATTGCCGTAGTTAATTCTGTATATATATATATATATATATATATATATATATATATATATATATATATATATATCGAGGGAGAGAGAGAAATTTGAGAGAGAGATAATGAGATGTATATCAATGGTGAGATTGACCGTTTCCATGCAGGAAACATTCGACATTCATTAACCAATCAGTTTACTTTGCCGTTGTTTGAAATATATAAAGTCTTTTTCATAAAACAGTCATTCAGGAACAAAATCATTTTAAGATCTGAAGAATAATTGTATTCTTTAAGACCGAAGGGCTTCATTCGTTTGAAGCCATCAGGCGTGAAATTGAAAGAATATATATATATATATATATATATATTTATATATATATATATATATATATATAAAGACATTTTTATGTTTATACGTTCTTTTTATAGATACAAATATTTAAGTAAATGCTCTGTTTATAATAAACAGTATTAACAACATTTACCGGCCTGTATGTTCGAGAAATTTTCATAGAAAATATGCGTCCTTACGACAGGAATCAAACTTGTATCCTATACGGAACCGTCATATAGCCTGACGTGCCATAACCGATTGGGCCACAGAGGAGCGTTCCCTTAGCAAGGTCGATTTTACTGTTTTTAAACACAATTCGCTACGATTTTCTCTCATACATTCATATCTGCTCAATGCGTATCCAAATGTAAACAATCGGTGGCCAAATCGGTTAAAGGCACGTCAGGCTATATGACGGTTCCGCATAGGATACAGGTTCGATTCCTGTCGGAGGACGAATATTTTCTATGAAAATTTCTCGGACATACAGGCCGGTAAATGTTGTTTAATACTGTTTATTATAAACAGAACATTTATTTAAATAAAAAAAGAACGTATAAACATTAAAACTGCCTTTAAAAATAATTGTCCATTTCATAATATATATATGTGTGTGTGTTTGTGTGTGTGAGTGTGTAACAGTATAAATTATGGAAACAGCTCAACCCAATCAATCAAAGTATATGTGGCAACTCATAAACAAACTAAAACATGCCAACTGTAATATGAAGGATAAAAGAAACGGTACCAGCTTATAACAACTCCTGTAAAAGGTGTAATCTTTGCCTTAAGGAGAAAGTAGCGATAATTATTTTTCGGGACACGATAAACTGCGAAGCAAAAAAAAAAAAATCATACCTCATTTCAAAATGCATAGACGAGAACAAATTCCTAATGCGCTACATATAAGGACATCAGGAGTAAACAGACTAAATTAAAATTTTAATAATCATTATTCCTATTACCAAAACATAGAAACAAAGTAATATGCGAGGAAAAAAAATATATATATATATATATATATATATATATATATATGGGGGGGACTTTTGTTTTCAATCCAACATATTTTTATTACTTCAAACGTTATATTTAATAGATACCCGTGTTTGAGGAGACGCCCCGTTCCTTGAACAGTGTTTATTTCGTATACATTTTCTTAAGCACTGTTTAAAAACAGAGCGTCTGCTTAAATACGCTTATCCATTAAAAATAACGTTTAAAGTAAAATAATAAAACTATATTTTTAAGCTCTGGTATATTTATGGGTGAAGGTGTTCAATATAAGGGATATAGCATATGTAAATATAAAAGTGGACACTGAGTCAAACTCCGAGCGACGATAGTCTGTTTCATGCTTGAACGCAATCTTCATGGCCAGAAAACTATATATATATATATATGTGTGTGTGTGTGTGTGTGTGTGTGTGTGTGTGTGTGTGTGTGTGTGTGTGTGTGTGTGTGTGTGTGTGTGAGAGAGAGAGAGAGAGAGAGAGAGAGAGAGAGTATATGAAAACCATTTGAAGATCAACCTAGCATATTTACATACACACATTCTCCAATCACGCAACCAGCATGAATAAGGAATTCAATGGCCAAGACCGCCTCTTATTCGTATCTTCAACTCATACACATATCTATTGAGAAGTTTGGTAAAAAAAAAACCCAACGAAAGTTCTTTCTTCAGGATTTTTTATATTTTGGATAATTTTTCTTGTTCCCGTTACATATTTAAATACAAATTCTTTAATATCTGAGTACATAATTGGATCAATGTATACATGAATATGTACATGAAAAAAGAAAAATGGTCAGAAATATAGGAAAAGTAATTTTAAAAGTCCTTACCAAAGAACTTACATTTCTTTTTAATTTGTATCAATGCAAAATTACTGCATTTATATATGTTTTGAAAATAAAAAATATTAAAAAATTAAAAATTTTCAGACACACTGGGTTGTATATTAATTTCTTTTGTTTTATTATTTCACTTAGGTTCCTCGACTGAATTCGGTCAGCATGGCCATCATCAGGAGGGAAAAAATTGATAATGGGATAATAGAGAAAACCCAAAATAAAAAAAAGGCAACTGCTAATAGGGACAGTAAAATGAAAATAAAAATAAGAGGTAATAGTGATACTGAAATAAAAAATAGAATTGCTAATAGGGACACTAAAAAAAAATGCAAATGGTAATAGGGACACTAAAATGCAAGTGGTAGTAGGGAAACTAAAACAAAAATGTAAGTGTCAATAGCGACGCTGAAATAAAAAATGCAAGTTGTAATAGGGACATAAAATATGCATGTGGTAATTGGGACACTAAAATAAAAAGTGCAAGTGCTTATAAAGACAGTAAAATTTTTAAAAAAATCATGTAGTAATAGAGACACTAAAATGTAAGTGGTAATAGGAACACTAAAATATGCATATGATAATAGAGACACTAAATGTTAGTGGTAATAGGGACACTAAATAAAAAAGTGCAAGTGCTAATAAGGACACTAAAATTTAAAAAATGCATATGGTAATAGAGACACTAAAATGAAAGTGGTAATAGGGACACTAAAATAAAAACGCAAGTGCTGCTAGGGGCACTACAAATAAAAAGGGAAGTGCGTATAGGCGTATAGGCACACTAAAATATAAAGTGCTAATATCAGCGTGGACCCGGTAGATCGAAATTCATACTGCTTGTCGCTCAGGAGGTTGTACCTATTGAGGTGATCGACAACCTAGTATTAAAATCAATTTTTCCACTTTCATAGTGTTTTGACACCAGTTTCGGGGTTAACTATTTGACCATACTTGGGACCCTAACAGATGATACCATTCTGAGTCAGGATGGACCTGGGAACATTAGCAGATAAGAGGTGGTTCCACGCTCCTCAAAGCCTCCTGATCAGAGGCCCTGCTGTTGGGTTTATTTTATCGTCTTACCCAGGACGAGGATGTACTTTATCGTCATACTCAGAACGGTGGACGAGGATGAGATGGCCACGGGGTCATTTATAATAGTAGGTACTGATGCTTTGCCTCTATTCAGAATTTGGTTAGAGAACTCGTAGAATCCAATTTCTTTGCTTTCAACCTTAGCCTGCTGACCATTTTTGAGATCTCTTGCAGCGGTTGTCAGCAGTTTTGAATGCAGCAAGTGTCCTACTACACCGTTCCTTTTGACAGCTTCTGTAGTAGTGGGTTACGATGAGCTTTGGCTGCAGCACATTCGAGAGGGACGCGGGGAGGGTTGTTCGGTATCGGAAGAAATTTTTTCCAGGATAGTTCTGCACAAAGTCATCTTTTGTAGCTCTGACATGCTGTATCCAGGAATTTTACTGACATGATTTTCGGTACCCTTCTTTATCATACCCAACACACCCCTATCACAACATCGGGTTCTTATAAATTGGCAATTGTTGAAATTCTTCTTTTAGAAACATCGGAGCCCTGTAAGCAAATCAATCTTTTATAACTATGTCTGATCTGTTATTATTATTATTATTATTATTATTATTATTATTATTGTTGTTGTTCCTTTGATTTCTGGTGAGTACACATTTCTTTCCGGGTCCCACCCAGAGACATAAGGCCAGAAATGGCATCATGACGTTTTTCACTGAGCAATAAAAAAAAAGAACAATAACACACATATTTTACTTAGACAAAACCATTCGTAAGATGTGGGCTCTACTCGTGAGAACAATGTTTTGTATTTCTTTAAGGCATGGGCTTCCAGGAATCCCTTCAATTAGTCTACTGGAATCTTTTCCAACCATTGCTAGGGCTCCAACTACAACAGGGATTGTTGATGTTCCCATGTGCCACATTTTTGTGATTTCAATTTCAAGGTCCTTGGATTTTGATAGATTATTATTATTATTATTATTATTATTATTATTATTAAACTAAATGATTAACGTAACTCTTTCAGTATTTTTTAATACCTGGAGATGAACGCAATTTAATAAAAAGAAAGAAAGAAAATACACAGAGTCTAATGTCTAGCAATATTTCGACAGTGTATCTGCCTTCTTCAAGTTAGGTTTAAAAATTATAAGTTTAAAAATATTTTCTCGTCTTTTTACAAAAATTGCTTGTCTTGAGAAAACGGCTGTAATTGTAATCAAGTCGTCAAAATGGATGAAACGCAGACAGTATGAATGGTATGCATCTGAATCGTGAGTAACATGATGGGGATCGTGCGCATCTTGAAGTTTTTCGTTAGTTGATTAGTTAAGAAGAGTAAAATTTGAAAAAACATTTTTATACTTCTATGCAATTTTTAAACACAATTTGAAGACAGACTTACCGTCGAAATATTGTTGAACATCGTTAAACATTGTGTCTTTTCGTTTCTTTTCATTTTTTCTTAAATCACGTTCTTCTATATAAATGTCTTTGTATTATTATCGAATCATTCCTTTATGGAATCGATTTGGAATTCCAATACAAACTTAACCTTATTATCGAATCATTCCTTTATGGAATCGACTCTGCTCAAGAGAACATCATTTTAAAATGATAATAATGTTTCTTTTATTATTTTGTTTCTATTTTAAAATTTAATTAGATCAGACAAACAGTGAACTTATCTTTTTACCTGTTAGAGAGATTTTCAAAATTAAAAAACAAAATATCACCACTTGTTTTCATTAAACAACAATCGTTAATCCTCCCTAAAAGATTCTCGTTTATGTTTTTCTCCAAAAAAATAAGTCTCCTTTATAAGCAGTTGTCCTCAAATTTTTAAATCCTAAGCAATTCCATACCTCGAGTGGCTCTTGAGCCTTAATTATTTTTATAGGAAAAAATCTTTTAACATCATGAACATTTTAACTCAAATCTTTGTCATTTGATTTTAAATGTTAATTAAATTTCTGTTTTTATGACTGTTTTTTCATATAAAAGAAAAAATTCTTCATAAATCCATTAATTAAAAATCTGCTTAAATATAAAATGTAGTGTCTTAAGAATCATTTTCAGACATGCAAATTTAAACAGACAGTGAACTTAAAAAAAGCAAATATCTTTTTTTTAAATTGAGTCATCGAACTCGAAATCATTATTGCAAGTGATTTATCACATGGGGGTAGGTGCGTACTTAAATAAAACAGAACGCAAATTGAACCACAAACCATCTTCATTATTACCGGCGGAATTTTCGATTAAAAAGGCAGTAACTCGTTTTATCATGTTTATCTATAAATTAAAAAAAAGAATCAGTCTATAAAGAACAGATTTTTAAGATGGGGAACTGTGTTACTAAACTACAATTTCAAACTTGAATTCTTACCATCAAAGAAAATAGGACACGCTGACGGACTATCGCGATTAATACCTGCGAAAGGCGAACCGTTAGAAGATTCGGTAATTGCAGCATTACAAGCTGGAGATGAAATCAAAAGGTATTATGCAATACAATAAAGGAACTACCTGTAACGCTGCTAGAGATAAGACGAGAAGCAGAAAGAGACGAGTTTATTCAGAATACCAAGAAAAAAATAGAAGAGAAGGTGAGGAATTTAGCAGACAGTTTCTCAATCTGTGACAACATATTATTGTATAACGAGAGAGTAGTAATACCGAAGTCGCTACGAAGACGGATCTTGAAAAACCAAAATAGGACATCCTGGAAAAAACCGGATGAAATCACTTATGAGAAGTTTTGTCTACTGGCCGAACATGGACGATGATATTACACAAATGGTGGAAAGTTGCAAAGGTTGTGTGCTGCTGCGGCAAACACCACCCTCTATACAAAATCCATGGCCTAAAGTCGACAGACCGTGGTCCAGAATCCACGTGGATTACGCAGGACCCATTGAGGGTTACTACTATTTAATAACAGTAGATAGTTTCAGTAAATGGCCAGAGGTTGCCAGATTTAAACACCCGACGACAGAAAATACCATAAACTTTTTACACGAACTATTCGCGAGATTTGGCGTCGCGGATTGTTTGGTAAACGATGACGGTAAGCACAATTTACCTCCAGTGACTTCAAAAGAATTTTGTGACACATATCAAGTAAAAGCATATCAAAATAGCTCCCAGTCACCTGAGGTCGAACGGACAAACTGAAAGATTCGTGACACACTAAAAGAGCGTTAAAAAAGCCGAGGATGTACCGACGATAAAAGTTAACAACAGTTCCTCCAAGTGTACAGAATAACACCTAACGTAAACACGCCATCCGGTCTTTCATCAGCGGAATTGATGTTTACTCGGAGAATAAGGTCTGTGTTTGACAAAGTATTGCCAAACAAGAACAAAAACCAGTATACACCTATTATACCCAAGAGATCATTTAAACCTAGAGAACGGGTGTACTTTAGGATGTTTAGAAACAATATGGCTAACTGGGAGCCTGGCACAATAATTAACAGATTAGGAAATGTGATGTATACAGTATAAGGCGAGAAGTTTTCACATAGAAGACATATCGACCAATTACAAAAAAGACGGGTTGAGGAGCCAAGCTCGTCACTCGCAGAAAACGACGATTCTATGGATGCAATCTTCGAAGCGTTTGAGATCCAAAGGCCACAGGAAGACACAGAAATGAGAAGGTCAAACAGGAATAGAAAATTTACCGAACCTCTGATTATCAACCATAAGAGAAAAAAATTCTAACTCCCCACAAAAGAGATCTAAGGAGGGGGACTCGATCAGTGTGTACTTGTACTACTGCCGGTGAATATCCGGAAGTCGGAAGTGATACAGTGATAGTGCGAGGTAACCGCTTTGTAGGAGTCACAGTTACAAGCAGGTAGACTCAGAAGGAAGTCCTACTTCGATACTGAATTTCCCAGACTGTATATATATTATTATTGCTACTAACCTCATTTCTGGATCTACTAACCGTGTTACTAATTGTATTATTGGTTCAATACATTTATTTGTTATATTTCATTCCTGCGTTTGTCATTCATTTGAGACCGGATTTTATCTCGGAATCCACAAAAGATAATAATAACAACGTCAACTAGGAATCTAAAAGACACCGACCTATAACAGCAATCAT